AGGTGAGTGGAAGTGTGTGAGATTAGGATCTAACCCTCCACACAAATTTCTATTTCTATTATACCTAATTTTATAATTCCATTAATGTGATGTGCAGTAACTGGCAAGCAAGTCCATGTGCTTCGTGCTACTGCTGAGTTGATTAGCATGCAAAGTAGGCTGGGAGTGTCTTTAATAAAGTTTAGAATTTAGTCATTTGCATTATAGAAAACAACAAGACAAGAGGTTTTAACCCAGGCACACTGCAGCAAAACTGTCCTTTTTTTTGATAAACATTACAGAAATGGACACAGATAGGGTGATGCAGTGATTTTCAAAGATGAGGAATATGTTTAAAAGTTAACCAATCAAGGCTGTGGACACCCATTAAGAGTCACTGCTTATCACTTAGGGTAACAAGTAAGGTTCTGTTATTGGGATCTTCCAATAAGTGCACCTGGTGCAAAGTGATTGCAAGAGGAGAAAGCAGGAGTCAGGAGGGAGACAGGTGGCGTTTTCATATTTCCCTCACTGATCTGGTAATGCAGTTCATGTTACAGCAGCACATTCCTCAGAGATTAAAATGCACCAAGAACCTACAAATTAGCCAGGAATCTCTTACACCTTCTCCTTGAGTGTTTCGGACAGATTTTACTAATGCAAGTACAGAATATAGTTTTGTCTTAAGCAGAACAATTCCTTTTTTAATATTGCAACTGTCACGATCGTCATCCCTCCTCTAAAGGGCGCTCCGATCTTTTCGGATTTTAGTTGATTATGTGCACCTGCCCCCTGTTTTGTCTCATTATTTGAGCCTGGCGCTCTCGCCATTCCTGGCTCAGCATTGGAAGACGAATGCCACAAGGCTTGCCTATTCCCCGGGCTCGCAGGTAGCCCGAAGGCAGGCCTTATTCCTGGTGTCCTGACTGTCCAGGGCTCAGAGCGCTTGGCCTCATTATTCTGTTTTAACTCCTTGTTCCTGTTCTGGATCCTGTTCCGGATCTTAACTTTGTCTGTCTAGGATGGATCCCGCAGTTCCTGGACTCTGGACTACGCCCCGGTTTCCCATTTTGCACTGTCTGGATTGTTTGCCTTTGCCACGCCCACAGAGCACCAGATCACCATCATGCCCCCTGTCTGTCAACCCGTCCTAATCCCACTGTACCTTCCCCTGATGTCCTTCTCCATTTACTTCCGGATTATACCATCTGCATAGGGTACTGAACTACTCTTCACGGGAGCCTGGACCGACTCCCATTACAGCAACATACTCACAAATGCTAAATTGTTCTTTTTTTTGTATTCCACATCTTGCTGCAGCCCTTCATATTCATGCTTCAAAGGCTTCCGTGTAAAAACAGGCAAGGTACAGATCTTGGAAATGGAATAGCCTCACCAAGCAGGTACATGCGAGCTTCGTCTCTGATATGCATGAGGTAATCGTGGTGGGTAGTCTTGTCTGAGACTGGTATGTGATTAGACTAAAGTCAACAAGGGTACTGCCACCCCAGGGTTCTTTCAGAGCTATTAGAGCAACAGCATGCTGAAGCAAAGGTTCTTGCTTTGTGTGGTTGACCACAGACAAATATTTCTCATGCTACAATAACATACGCTATGAACTAGAGTGAAAAGCAAGTGAAAGCAGTGTCAAAGCCTAGAGCTGATTCTCCATAATCAGATGCAGGACCCTACATCTTAGAATAGTGTCACCTTGTTCTGAAGACAGTCATCATCATATACTCTGGAAAGCTGAACATGTTCAAAAATGATTGCTAGTGAGAAATCGGTGATGCTCTGTAAAAGAGTGCCTCCTACAGGTCTTTGCAACCTGAGTTCAATTAAGGGTTTATTTTGACAAGTGGTGGAATAAAAACCAGCCAACCCTAGGACCACCAGGACCAGAATTGGGAAGCCGTGTTGTAAGACCTGGAGCTCATCAGGACCAGAGCAGCAGTGGTGTTAACAAGAAATGTTGCTTTATATATAAATTCAAATATAATTTGTATTTATAATTCAAAATATTTGTATTTATATGTCATTCAAGCTTGGCAGCCAGAACAATGTGGCATATGACAGCAAATTCATGAAGCTTAGGCATAAATAATTATACAGTATATGTTATATAGATCTCATTGAATTCCAGAGTAACTTTATCACAAACACTGGCAGAAGAATCCCAAACAGCTCATATTATCATATTATGTTGAATTAATGAAGCAGTGCTAATTTTAAATGGTTTAAAGTTGCTGCAACATTTATTTAGCATACTTTGAGTAGACCTGTGGTTCTCCATAAAAGAGAAACCTATGATTTTCATGAAATAGTCATCCTGCAAAGGCACATTTACCCTAGCATCCCATCAACGCCTGGTATTTGTAATATTTTAGGATTGCATTAATGTGTGAAAGAATGGAAAGATGATTGTTTTGTGCCTGTTTCAGCTTGCAATGCTGTTTACCTCCCCACTACTGTTGTGGGTTATTAGCAAAATCTCATAATGTGACAGTTTTGTCACCCTCTTCTTCATCTGCTTGGATATGTTGATAGGCAGCACTAAATCAAAATACTACAACATGGTGATATTGAAGAGTCAAAAGTGTAATTCATATCACCAAAATGATCAAAAGGTTTTGAGGGGGGATTTGGGTTTCCCCCAGTGAGAGCTAAAATTCTCATAACCAGCAAGGTGCTTGCTAACCGATGTTCTGTTTTGGAAGTGAAGCTTCTAAGAGTTTAACATTAAACGTGCTGCATTTCAGACTGTGAAGAGCTGAATGGAAACCTGCAGGACTGTGGCCCTCTAGGACAGGGTTTGAGGTCTAGGAACACCTGCTTTATGATTCATCCCTCTGTTGTTTCTGTACTTTGAATTGTGGTGCTTTTTCACTTATGGAAAACTCCAGTTTAACAACCTGTGATTCATCTCTGTGTTTCTGCACAGGAAATTGTTTCACGTACTTTATTATAATGAGTTACTACTGTGACTCTTTTCTTTTGGTTTATTCCCCCTCTGGATGATCTATTCAGGCACTGTTGTTTTTTAACTGTTAATTTATTATTTTCAACAGAAGTCAGATAAAAGCATCATCTAAATAATTTCATTGCAATGATGAGAATAACTTACCAGCTCAACTTACACCCATATTATCACTCAGAGAAACTTTGGGATGGCTTTTTGGAAAGTGCAACAAACTTACAGAAAATGTGTTGGGCTTTGAGGCCCTTTGGACAAGGGCAAGGTAAATGTTTCATTAGCCCCTTGTCTTGAGAACCTCAGTTAATTTGGCCATTAATTCTGATACAGACAGTTGGAGAAGGTGGAAGGGAGGGGAGATGTTGTGCAGAGAGGAGCCAAGGTTCCTGGGAATTTAAAACGAATTGTGCCTCATAAAATTTAAAATTACGCCACCATAAAAGTAATGCTCCAGACCATCTAAACATGAATAATTGTAAATGTAACCATGGGATCAGATCGAATAGCTTTTGAATTCTCTGGAATTGCTGTTCCAGGCAATTTGACAGTATTCAGAGTAACATGCTTAAATCCTAGTGATCATTTTCCCTTGATATCCAGTTTGAAACGGGGGCTGTTGCCAGCTGTTCTTCTATCCTCAAACTTTTTAATTTAATTTTAGGATCTGATCAAGTTTTTTCTGTTTTTTTTTTTCTAGACAACATTATCTGCTTCTTCCCATTATTTGAGAAAATCATGTTTCTGACAAAGATCAAATTTTTATTTCAGTCATCAGCAGAGATCCTTAAAACTACTTTGGGCATGAATGAAGAAGGATTCTTTTAGCTTTAGAATAAAAAAAGAGAGTTTTTAAAATTTTCTTCCTGGTTTTATGTGTGCTCAGGCCCAGACCTTTCTGTGTCTGTAACTCAGCCTGGTGCGAGTCATACCTCCACGCCATCGTACTCGTCTTCAAACAACTTGCAGTATTCAGCCAGGCCCAGCTGCTTCAGCCATCTGGAGATTGGCAGGTGTTTCATGACGTGGGTCACTGCTTTCTCCCTGTACCGTTCTTTCACTCCTTCAGCGTCACCTGCAGAAACAAGATGGCACCGCTGGTAATCCACTCAGGCTGCAAGTTTTATTGGTGAACATCTAAAAAATGTAACATCAGTAAGGTTATCACTTAAGCTCATTTTAGTTTTTTTTTCTTTGGTAGAAAATATTTTTTAGCACCCCTCCCTCTGACCCAGAATTACCAGTACAACATTTTCTCCCTGGCTCATACCCTCATAAGTGAGGCAGGATGTGACAGCGCTGATCTCCAACCAACAACTGTCAATTCTTCAGCCAGGCGAGTTTCAGCCAAACTATTAAGTACTTCATTCATTTCATATTTCTTGGCTCATTTAGAACACATTTCAACTGAACGACTGAAACCACTGCGATTTCAAAATACCTTAAAAGTGTCATAATGTTATTTTGTATTAAACATACTGACAACTAATGATAAATCAAACAGAAATAAAATGAAGCTACGAATTGGTTTAGCCAGGTGAAGCCTTGTGTTATAGCATTAGCTGAGTCTGGTACTACAATTAGCATTGGATTAAGATATTTTTGAGGGGTGTTTCACCTACCCACCCAGAAAGTTTTCAGTCCTTGTGGGAAAGTTATTATTTCCACTTTGTTTTGTGTCTCTCACAAAATTGGTTCTACCGTATTTTGGCAAATCTGCCCAAAATACCCAGGGGTCAAAACCCAGACAGGTGGCAAAATGTATCTCTAGCTTTCTGAACCAAACTGACCCAGCAACTCCTTTAACTTGTCTGGTGGCCAGCGAGCTCATAGTGTTTTCAGTAAGAGCCTTAACACTTCTCCAGAAGAAGCCAACAAATTGAGAGTTACAGTGGCTAAAAGAATGAATAATGAGATTTATCTTTGCAAAGCGTGGTGGTATTTTTATGCTGTTTTGCTTTCAGATGCGCGTGAGTACATTAAATTGTTATTAGAAATGCTGTACATTATTTCTGAGAGTACAGCAGGACTTAGAGGACATGGTAAGTTACCACCAATATCAACATTAACAGTACTTGAGTCAGACAGAATGTACTTTCAGGTTCAGAGAATTGTCAAGGAAATTTAATATCCTGTGCCAGCCTATAATTGTAGATTATAAAGTGTAAACGTGTTCCAGTCCTGCTAAAGAATAATTTATAGCATGGATACAGTTTTACACCGTGACATACAAATCATTAAGCCGTCACAGAACACTCTGTTTCATAGTTACAATAAATTCTGAAGCTGTCACATACATATGTCTTGACATGTTGACGTTTGTCTTTTAATCTTCACCGATTTAAAATAGACACCTACTGTTCTAATTTGTACTGGAAGACCAACAAAGGAAAACTTACAAAAATATTTTTTTTCTTTTAAATTATTTTAATTGATGCTTTCGGAACCCCTGACCAATTAATCAGAAGACCTGGAGGGTTTGTTTTGGTGTGTTGTATTATAAGAGCAATAAAGAAAACAAAAGGAATATTGACAGACAGAACTTGGCTCTCACATCCTCATAGGCTATGCATTCCCTGGAAAGGGCCCTTCACAGCAATCCACCTGCTTCCACTCAATTCCCTCCTGTTCCCGCTCACTAGGAAGAGCACTGATAAGAGTTTAGGCTCGGAACTCAGATTCCGGGTCAAATTAAAAAGGCTGAATGTAGGAAAAAGCTGATAAGAAACTAATACCTATTGTATAGTTTGTATCAATAAATCATTTAATTAAATCTGTGTGATAGGATAAAATGTCTGTTTTTGTTCATTTTTCTCATCTGTAGCTTCTATTGCAAACTTACAGCCTGTTACCTCTTGCACTGTGAGACAGTGACTTCAATTAATTCATTTTCTATGTTCTTCCAAGTATGCCTTCTTGCAATGAAACTTGAGAGACACTGCTGTCTAGATTTTTCCAACACCCTAAAGCATGTCACCATTGCCAACACTACAGAAAACTGCTGGTTTAAAGGGTAAGCATGACATTAGAGTTTATTTTTGGATACCACACATCATCTTCACAGAGAATTGGTGCAGTGATGATTTCACTGTAGCATTTCTACCGCCCTGAGGCTTTTGAAGAAGACAGTAAGCCCTTCCAAATTTAGTTCGGGCACTGTTCAGTTTGCAGGGTCAGAGGTGCAGCTCACTAACGTGATCCAATAAGGCTGGGCTATGTGGGTGAGAAGTTTGTGTGCTGTTACTCTTCCACACTTCATGCTTTCATTCCCGAGCCGGGCCTCATTAAGCTGTCTCTCAGGTTTTACTAAGGCTAACACCTGCCAAAGTGCCTACAGAAAGCTTCTGTTCCCCCTAGCTGTTAACCCGTAATGCCTTTCCAAACAATGACCCATAAAAGGGACACCAGAGGTGTAATACTCCACAGGGCTGTAAAATAATCTGGTAACATGGTGGCAATAAACCCCCCTCCCAACCCTCCCAGATATCTCCTCTCAGCAGGGCCAGCTGTGTTTGTGGTTTGGAAAAGTGCTCCCAGAGTACTGCACTCAGGAGAGCAAAATACAAATTTCATTCCTACAGGGCTACAAAAACTCATGTAAGAGACACCTCTTTTCACATCCCCTTGCTTTTCTTTTTTTCAGGTGACGTCCACTTGAAAGTAGAAGGCAGAACACCAGGCCGTTTGCTGACACAAGATGTAATTGACATCAGTGTGAAAGCAAGGCAGGGTAACATTTGCTTAATGTTTACTAAGGGGCATGCAGAAGGAAACAGTACCACCTAAAAATAAATGTGTCAGAAATTATACCACACACATTTGAATTTACAAAATCTCATAAGGTATATGGTATCTCTTAAGGTATAACCATAAGGTTGGTGGTACATGATGTTCTCTTAACAAAACATGAGTCTGAGAGACTTTCTCATTTCTGTAACTAAAGATTCAACAAGTAAAGACACAGTTCTAATACATGAAATAAGGTAAGCCTTAATGCCAAACAAATGAAAACACAGAGGAAATGTTTAGTCACAGAGTTTTTGTGAAGAAAAGGAAGGAAGAAAACACAAAATTGGGTTTTTTCTTGTGCTGTATCTTGTTCTTCATATACTCCCTCACATTCTATCTTAACACTGTAATTTAAGAATCTCACTAGCATTACGAAAGTAGTAATCCAACATCTCAAAGAATTTGTATCTTAGGAGTCTCCAGCTGTGGCTTTAAAATGACTCTATCACACAATGCCCACAAATCAGCACCTACAGTAAATGGTTTTTGCACAGATTTGAAAAAATCAAGAATATTTGCACAATGTTTTACAGCCTGGGGGAGGACACTGTACAAAGACAAAATGCCCCTCAAAACATTTAAAATATTTTGCTCTATTTTACATTTACATATTTTACATTGCTTATTTGTTTACTTAAAAATTAACAAAAAACTGAATGCATCTTAGAATGAATTCTATAATTCAAGAGTTTTGTGATTTCTTCAGATCCATCAAAAGCTGGTTTTCTTAGGCTTTGTGTCAAAGGACATCTCTGTGCTTCTGAAGGCAACTGATTTGCCTTCACAGGATTCAGTCCAGTAAAGATCTACAGGGCCCGTGTCCTGCTCTCTCCTAGTTGAATTCAATTAAGATCATTTACAGGTGTGTTGATGTAACCTTGGAGAATACTGAACTCAAGTCTAAGAGCAGAACTTATAAAACTGTGTAATAAACTCTTAAATTCCCTTCATCTTCAAAAAACAATTTCTTTTCAATTAATAACATATATTTTAATGGTTTAAGATTTTCTTTAAACTCAGCAATAAACCTTAAATGATTTATGTTACTTTCTGCAGTGCAGCACTCAGCAATGGCTTTGGTGTGATATACAGTGCTACATGGGTCTGTGCTAGGACCACTGCTCTTTTTGACAGTAGTTAGTAAAATAATCAATCATTCAGGTGATACAACATTAAGAGTATTAGCAAACAGGAGGATGGCATCAACTCTTCTCATTTGTAACTTATTCTTATTCTTTTTCTCTCTGTATAAAGACAGGTTTACGTGGACATTCTTCTCATTTTTACCAACTAGAAATAACACTGTGATGCCAAAATTCAAGCTAGTATTTTTAAGATTTAAGATAAAAAAATCCTTTCCTTTACTCCATTTTAAACACTTGTACACACACTTCATACATTGTTGAAACAACACAGATTGCATTTCAAGTCTACTTTTGAAAGCTTTTCATATCGCCTGCAACATTACACTAGTCACAACATAATGCCATCTGTTTATTAAGCAAATGTAGAACATGTCTGACTCAAAGAGCAATAAACAGATTACATTCAAGGCTAAATCTCCTGATTAAAGGTAGTTTAAACTCCTCTCCTTGTCTCCTGGTTATGTACAGTGTTTGGTTTATTAAGTATGCTGTTCAGGAAAAACGTTTTTTATTTCTTTATATTTTCATATTTGCCGTTACAGGTATTACTATTCTTTTTTCTTTTAGCACCCCCAAAATGATGGCTTATTTCTTAAAGAAATAACACAGCCAATTTGTTTTCTGTTGATAGCTGGATGTTTGTTCTGATACGGAGACAAACACTTGCGAATCATGCCTTACAAGATCATTGCACAAGCCAATACAGGTTCATGCTTATATTTTAAATAGCAGAAGAATGAGATTTGCTGATCTTTTTGGTTAAATATAATCTGGACCCTCATATGCTTTGACAGTTCCATGTAAGTTAAAGAATATTTTTTAACTTCCTGCTAACAACGGAGCCATATTGTCATGTGTCCTCCTTTTCTGATCAACATCTGAATGAATTGGTTTCTCATGCAGTTTGTGGGTTCAGATACTAGTAGTGGACAAATCAATTACAGTGCTGTGGTAAAAGAGGAAACTGAAGACATTAAGGTTCTATCTGGACAGAAAGCACCTAATCAGTAAAACCAGTAAAACAGACTATATATACGATAGGAGATCAAACAGGTAGGTGCATCAGCATGTGTCGGCTGCAAAGGAACAAGTAAAGGTTTATTTCATGCTGAATAGAGAAGAAAAGAAACAACATTTCAAC